CTCACTGAGTTGCTTAGCACCTCGTTTTTTGCTGAGGCTGGCTGTGAACTCGCGATCCTTCCACCTCAGTCTGTTGAGCTGCTGGGATTACAGGTGTATGCCACTGCACCCAGCGAGTTCTTCTTTTCTTACTCTTCCTAATAACTTCCTGCTTTTTTTTCAGTCTCACACATTTCTGATCCATCATAAGTAAATGCTAAAATAATCTTCCTTGAAGTTTTGCTTAATTGAATTGTATGTCCTTAAGCAGGAAGAGGTGGAGCACGTGGTGATCCCAGCAACTTGGGAGTCTGAGGCTGGGGAACCGCAAACTCCAGACCAGCCTGGGTGATGCAGGCAACACAGCGAAAGCCTGTCTTAAAAACAAACAAAAATTAAAAAGAAAAAAAAGCCTGAATTGTGCTTCCTTGCACAAATATCTTCAGTGACTCCTGTGACCTAACAGATTTTGCTCAAATTTCACATTCTGGCATTGAAAGTTTTCCTCAGTTTGGTCCTGGTGACTTCGCAGCCTCACTTGAACCTTGTCTTCAGGAAGATGGGCCCATTATCCTTGTCACAACGTGCCCTTTTTCCTCTGGATCACCATCAAAATCCCTACTGTATTCCAAATCACTTTGGGAAAATAATGACCACCTTTGAATTGGATTCACAGAATGTAAGAATTAAAATGCATCTTGGAGGATATCAAGCTCAACTTTCACCTGTAACATACCCTTTAACCTTTGAACCTGTCCAAAGGGGAGCAACTTGGAAGCTCATTACATGTTCAGATAGTTATTATCCATAAGAATCCCCACCCCCTCCAATTCCTGTCTCTTTTAGCTCATTTGTCTTTGGTCTATCTTCAAGAACAACACAAATTTTTTTTCTTTTATATTAAAATCCCTACCATATTCCAAGGTTAAATTGGACACCCCTCTTCTTCCATAAATACTTTTTTTTTTTTAAACCACTTTGGGAAAAAAAAATTTGATAAATTTTACCATTTCTGTTTTGACTGATCCAAATATAACACAGACTATTGAATTATTTCTTATACTGAAATGGTTTCTAAATCATTCTCTATCTTGGCTAATTTATCTGGAAGTGCTATAGAAGGTTAATAATAATGTTGAAAACTTGTCCAGGAAAAACACAACTTTCCTGATCCATAGTATTCATTCCAAAAAAACTTGGGATGTTTGTACCACTTATTTGGCTCATTATGCACTGACATATATATTTATAATGTTTTTTTTGGTCAGAGAGGAAGGAGGGACAATTCCCTGGGCCTCTGTGTTTCCACTTATGAGACAAATGATCAACACCTGGTAAGCAGAGACTCTGACCTGCAAAATGTCCTTCAAAGAAAGTGCTGCACCTAGTAAGCAATCCATAATTTGATCTGAAAAGTTAATCTCAGATGAAGGAAAGTGCTGAGTCTAACATTTGCTACGTAACTCCTACAGTATTTGACCTCTTGGCAACTTTAACACTGCTGACTGTTTTCTCCTGAAAATTCTTCCTTTGGCTCCCATGGAAGTCAATTTGACCAACTCTCTGTACTTCTTAGTCTCCTTTTCTCTTTAAAAAAAAATTAAAATTTATTCTAATTAGTTATACATGACAGTAGAGTGCATTTTGAATTATCATACATAAACAGAGTATAACTTCTCATTCTTCTGATTTTACATGATGAAGAATTACACAGGTTATATGATCATATATGCACATAGGGTAATAATGTCCGATTCATTCACCCTCAGCTGGGTGTCTCCACCTGCACTCTGCACAGGAAGTTTCCAGCGCAAAGAAGCCATGAGCAGTCAGAAGACCATGATTCAAATTACCTCTCTCCACAGTTTCATGTCACAGATTGTGATATGTCTAAAGATACTTTTTGAGAAAAAGGTTTAATGGGGGAAGTTTAAGATTGATCAGGAAAAAAATCTGTCATCATATCTTGGTGCATATAACTGGAGTCATAAAATAGAAGAAACAACCACAAGCAAAACAAACAAACAAAAAATGGTACTTTGGTACTTTTAAGTTCACTGTGAGCCCGTAAACCACTGTGGGCCTCGTAGTACATGCTTGGAATCCTAATCACTTTGGAGGATGAGGCAGGAGGATTGCAAATTTGAGCCAGCCTGGATAACTTAGTGAGACCTTGTCTCAAAGTAAAATAAAAACAGTTGGGTATGAAGTTTAGTAGTAGAGCAATTGCCTGGCTTGTGTGAGGCCCCAGGTCCAATATCCACTACTACTACTAAGGAAAAGTTCATTCATTATCACATTAACTAAACACCAGAAAAATGACATACATAGACAGAACCAATCAGTGAAGTTATGTTTACTGAGCATCTAGTATGGGCATGGCTCTGTGTTGGAGCCTTAGTGATCCTATATCTCGATTTACTCCTGGTTTATGTGTATTGTCCCAGCATTTTCTGGTCTGGGACAATCTATTGAGTTATCACCACAGGAGGATGCAAAACATTCCAATTCAATCTAAGAAAGAAGGTTGTTCTTGACATTGGGTTAGATGAGATTGACAGACAGCTGTCATGCATGGATACATTTAGGGTTTTCATGAGAAAATTTACCCAAGGAAATTTCTGGGGAAAAGAAAAAACTAAAACCCTAAGTAGACTGAAGAAATCTCTAAATGGGAGACCTGATGGCTGAAAGAAATCTAAGATGATATAATCTTTAAGATGTGGATGTCTCTTCTTTACTGGGTTTGAAATACCTACTAGGAGAATTATCCCTGGGGTTTCCATAGAAGAGAGGAGGAGAGGGGCCAAGGCTGCCATAGAAAGGCCACTGTTAAACAGCACTGTGGCCAGAAAAGGAATGGCTGCCCACCTCCTCTCTCTTGGAAAGCCCTTTTCTCTTTGGCTCTTGAGCACCAATACCTGCCAAGTTTGGAAGCTCTTGCTTTTCACTTTGGTGGGGGATAGAAAAGATAGGATGCCATAGATCCTGGGAGATTTGATCCCACCTCCAGTATGAGTCAGGTTAGCCCAGTATCCCTGGAAGGGCTGAGAAATTGTAACAAGAGAGGTGGCCCAGAGAGCATGACCAAAACAAAAAATCTAGAGATATGTATAGGATTCTTCTTCCATGATTCCAAAGGAGCTGCCATTCATGATGGAAATATAGAGAGAAACTGTTTGTGATGTACAGGAGGCAGCATCTCCCAGGGGCAGGTGGTCCAGAGGAGTGTCAGAACAGTGTGGAGACCAGGAGGGAGCTATACCAGGGGTTTGAGTGTGAAATCAGGGGAGAGGGAGATAGAGGTCAAATAAGGATCTCTGCTGTGTGTGATCTGTAAAAATACCTTTCCTGATTGCGGGAGTTGCTTAGGCTTTACCAGCTTCTCCCAAGAGTGAGCCCTCTGGCAAGGGTGTATGGTTCTTATTCAACAGAATCAAAATTATGGATGTGATTAATAAAATGAAGGTCATCAAAGCGTTACTCAAGTCATAATAACATGGTGTATATATACACATATACAATTTATCTATCAGTAGAGAAATAATAAGAGAAGGGCTACTTTTATGTGTGAGTATGAGATAGAAACAGAGGGAGGGGAATATGGGTCTAGGAGCAGCCTCAATTCTGTGTTTTCCTTCTTTATTTCTGTTTTAGCCAACTTCCATTGCTGCTGTGACTAAAAGATCTGACCAGAACAGTTTCAGGGGAAGAAAAGTTTATTTAAGGACTCACAGTTTCAAAGATCTCAGTCCATAGGCAGTCTGCTCCATTCATTCCTCAGGGCTCCAGGTGAGGCAGGACATTGTAACAGAAGAGTGTGGTGGAGGGAAGCAGCTCATATGATGATCACAAAGCGGAGAGAGAGAGACTCCACTCTCCAGATACAAAATATATACCCCATAGCCATGACCCCAATGCCCATCTCCTCAGCCACAACCTACTTGCCTCTAGTTACCACCCAGTTAATCCCATCAGGGATTAATTCACTGATTAAGTGAAGATTATAACTCAATGGTTTCTTCTCCAAAGCTTCTTGCATTGTCTCACACATGAGATTTTAGGGAACACCTCATCTAAACCATAACACCTTCCTTCTTTCCTTTAGCTGCTTTACCAGAGATTGAGCCCAGGGGCCCTTAACCCACGAATCACATTCCCAGGCATTGTAATTTTAAATTTGAGAATAGGTGTTGCTAAGGTTGCTGAGGCTGGCTTTGGACTTGAGATCCTCCTGCTTCAGCCTGTTGAGTTGCTGGAATTATAAGAATCCATCTTGAGTTAATTCTTTTAATTTTTTTCCATGTTTTTACTGTCTCATATATTAACATATAGTATTAAACTTGTTTAATGTCATAAAATTTTCACTTTATGCATATTTATTGAGGTGTAATTGACAGATAAAAATTGTATGTATTTACAGTATGCAATTTGATGTTTTGATATAATAATTTTCCCATTTTATAAAGCCTCTGAATTCTGGAGACCTAATGTATAGTATGATGACTATGGCTAATAATACTCTATTGTATACTTGGGATTTGCTAAGAGAATGGACTTTAGGTGTTCTCACAGCTGTACGCACACACACATATTTAAAATTAAAAACACAACTAAAGAAGCTGGGCATGGTGGTGCACGCCTGTAATCCCAGCTACTTGGTAGGCCAAAGTAGGACAAGGGCAAGATTGAGGCCAGCCTCAGCCATTCAGCAAAGCCCTCATCAGCTTAGTGAGACCTTGTCTCAAAATAAAAACAATTAAAAGGCCTGAGGTGGTAGCACAGTGGTTAAATGCCCCTGGGCTGAGTCCCCTGTGTCAAAAACAAACAAACAAGCAAACAAACAAACAACAACATACAAATAAACCTGAAGGCTATTGCTGAGATGGGAATTTTCACATATGGTTTTTCTGTGACACTATAAGGAAAAAACAGCAGACACATGCTTTGGGCATGTTTTGGATGTTTTCTTTGAGGTGACAACATTAAAAATATAGATGGGCAAAAGAAAACTGACTTACCGCTAAAGGAATCCTGTTCATTTCTGTGGGGATTAATGGATAATGGCTGTGATCTCTCAGAGCCATCTTCTTTCCTGGCCTCTCTAGTTCAGCTAAGCTCAGTTACCAGTTACTCTTTTAATACTTTTTGTTCATGGTTAATATTTAAGGGTTGTAGTGTGTATGTGTGTGTATTTTGGCTTCTTCTGTTTAATATATTATTTATTTCTCCATGTCTTTTAAATTTCATTTAAAATCACTCTTTCTCCATATTTCTTCTGCATGCCTATAGATGTGAGTATATACAATGATGTAAATTGATATTCTATGGTTCATTTTGTTGTTTTGTGGGCAATTTCTAAGTTTTCACCATTAGAAATATATAGCTAGGATGGTGGAAGGAGAGGGTCATCATTATACAAAATACATGTATGAAGATGTGAATTTGGTGTCAACATACCTTATATACAAACAGAGATACGATAAATAGTGATATAAAGGTGTATTAAGAATTGTATGCAAGAAAAAAGAGAGCTCATGTATAATGGCATAATTTGGTGTGAACATACTTTATATACAGAGTTACAAAAAACTGTGCTGTGAATGGATAGTTATGAATATAATTCACTCCACTATTGTCATGTATGTAAGAAAAAAAGAAAAAAAGTAAAAAAAAAAAAAAGAAAAGAAAAGAAATACTGGTTTGAATCTGGGTGCTGTGGCGCACACCTGCAATCCCAGCAGCTTGTTAGGCTGAGGCAGGAGGATCATGAGTTCAAAGCCAGCCTCAGCAACTTAAAGAGGCCCTAAACAACTTAAGGAGAATTTTAATATTCATTTTTTAATATTCATTTTTTAGTTTTCCGCAGACACAACCTCTTTGTTTGTATGTGGTGCTGAGGATCAAACCCGGGCCGCACGCATGCCAGGCGAGCGCGCTACCGCTTGAGCCACATCCCCAGCCCCAACTTAAGGAGAGAGTGTCTCAAAATTAATAAATAAATAAGAGGGCTGGCGATGTGGCTCAGTGGTTAAGCATGCTATGTTCAATCCCTGGTGCCAGAAAACAAGAAGTTGTCGTCTCAATTAGAGAGCCTTCTGTAGATTCTTCACATATCCTGGCCTTCACCATGGAGTCTTAGGCTAAGAGTTCACATTTGTTGGACACTCACCTTGTGTGAAGTCAAACATTGTCAAAGACTTGATGTTCATTACAGCATCATTTGAGGTAGCGACTAATGTAGTCTTCAGTTTTACACATCAGGAAACTGAGGCTCAGAAGAATAAGAACAAAGTGTTGGTACAGTTAGGCAACTGGTAAGTGAAAGAGCCAGGATTCAATTGTAGAGTCCTGTGTTTCCAGAGCCCAAGCTATGTCACAATCTGCCTTTCTTCATTTCCTCCAATTTATTTCCTGAGTGTAAAATGTATTTTGCATGAAGTTAGACAGGCCTGAAGAGCAAAACCTCTTTAAAGAGGGTAGTTAAAGGTCTGGGATTCAGAAGGTCAAGGAAGCAGAAGGCTGAGTCTTTTCTTTTTTTTTGGTGAAGGGAGGACTGAACCCAGGGGCACTCAACCACTGAGCCACATCTCCAGCCTTTTTTATGTTTTATTTAGAGACAGGGTCTTGTCAAGTTGCTTAGGGCCTCGTTAAGTTGCTGAGGCTGGCTTTGATCTCATGATACTCCTGCCTCAGCCTCCCAAGCTGCTAGAATTATAGGTGTGTGCTATCTGTAAGGCTGTGTCTTGAAGGAAGCAGAAGGGCCTGAGAAACTGGACTGATGCTGGGGTGTGTGCACGCACACACATGGCAGTGGGTGAAAACACTGGGTGAACCGGAGGATCCTTCCAGTCTGAGTCTGGGATTCTAAGAAGTTCAGGAGATCAGAGCAGAGAGCTCAGGTGGAAAAGTAAGTGGTAAGATTGCATCAGATTTGAGTCTCACTTTAAAGAATCTAGATGTGATATTAATGGGCGATGGAGGGCCCTTAACACCTTCAGAAGGTGTGGTAGACTGTTGATTTGGTGCCCCCACTCCTTGTGAAGCGTGCCTCCTGCTCTTCCTGCCCTTGAGTACTTCCCTCCCACATTGATTGAAGCCTAGTAATTCAACTAGCTTTAGCCAATGTGGCATTAGCAGGCATAATGCAAGCGAAAGTGTGATAAGTGTGATTGCATCCATTCTGTCCATAGGTTCTTTTCTAGAATCCAGCTGTCAACTCTGAAGAGGTCAAGTAGTCACATGGAAAGGCCTATGGAGGAGCACTGAGGTCCAGCTGACACCCCAGCTGATTCCAGCTGGCACTCGTCACACTCCATGTGAATGGGGCCATTTTGGACTCCAGCCATCCCAGGACTGTGGTCATCACAGCAGGAAGCAGACCCCCCTCCCACCAGCCAACCTCAGAATTGTAAGAACAAATAAATTGTTGTTGTTTTAATCCACTACATTTTAGGGCAGTTTGTGATGTAGTAACAGATCATTTCAACAGTCCAAGGTGATCTTTTTCACTCCCTCTTCCCTGCACCCCTGCTTCCTTACAGCAAGTATTATAAGAAACTATGATGAGGTCTGTGGATGGTGCAAAGATAAAGAAATCTTCCAGGTCTTTGTCCTAAGGGACAGTGATACTTCCTGCCCCTTTGGCTCCGCATTCCATTGTTCTCGCCTTTAGATTTTCATTTCCAGCTGGCTATCCACAGTCCCCAAACAGAATTCACTTTCTTGCACTTTAGAATGCTGCTCACCCTTCTTTCTCTGTTTTGGTAGCTAGTATAGCCACATGCTCAGTTGCCTAAGTTAGAAATGTCAGGTTCATTTCCATTCTGTCTCCTCACTCTCCATACTGTCCACTTACCACGGCATTGCTACCGACCTGGAGCTGGCTGCTGTGGAGAGCTGAGGGCCTGGAGGCCAGGAGATCTGGGATATGGAGGCCGTAGTCCTGAGATCACTGCAGTTGCCATGCTGAGCTCTTAAAAAGAGGGCGTAGCTAGGCCTCTCAGGTGGAAAGACCTCTCTGTAGGCAGTTTTCCCTGCAGAGCAAATGGGTTATAGTTTTCAGTTTCTTCATCTCAATTCCAGTCTTCATATCCCCAAAAAATATTTAAAAAGAGTTGGGGACATGGCTCAGGGGTAGAGTCTAGCATGTGCAAAGCCCTAGGTTTCATCCCCAGCACTGAAAAATAAAAAATGTTTTCCCCAGAAGGTGTTTAAAACCTCAAAAGAATTTGAATCAACTATACTATATTTTATGTATGTTATAGCCAGAGAGAAGTATGCTGCAACTTTTTAAGCCAGGTAATAGGGTTGCATTGCCACCTACTTGGTATACAGTAACAGCACAGAAGTTGGAACATTCTTAGTTTTCCTTTTTTCCACATTCCAAAGACAACCGATCTTTTCTTCTTTGGTCCTAGAAAAGGAATTAAGAGACGTGTGCTCAGAGCTGTTGGTCTTTGCAGCATCTTAGTGCCTGTTGGAAGTCTTGGTGGCGGTAGGCAGGTGGACGCCAGGTGGGTGGACTCCCACCTGAGCAGATTGCTTGGCTGAGAGGGTGCAGGATGGATTTAGTCATCACTTGTCTCTTTGGCCAACTGCCTTTGTACAGTGCAAAAGATGTAGAACTGCTCCTATTCTCTCTCCCTGGTTTCTAGTATGACTCTGCCACCAGCAAGTTCTGTGAGTTCATGTCTCTGGCTCTGGTTCCAGTTTCCTTCATCATGAAGGAAAGAATCCTGCATCTAGGGCCAGGATACCTGAGTTGGAGTCTTACCTCCTTTTCTTCATCACAACATGAATGTGACCAAGTCCTTAATCTTTGTAGATGCTAATTTTCTGGTTTGGAAAATGGGGGTGGGTAAATAAGACAATCTCCTTCCAGATTAAAAAAAATCTCGAATACTAACATGTTGCAGAAATCCAGGAATGGATTGAGAATCTTTAGCTTTCACGATGGACTTGCTTTTAATACTCTGCCTCCATCTTCCTCCCCTTATTGCAACCCAGTCAATTAGTCAATTTCTCTGCATTTTAGTTTTGCTCTATTTGTCAAATGGAGATAATAAGAGATGCCTTAGAGGGATTCAGGGAGGATAAACTAATTAATGATCATAAAGTCCCAGTGGCCACGCGCCTGCTAAGTGGTCATGATTTTAAACAGATCTTTAGAGCTCCTCAGCTGCTCACAGGAGAGTCAGACAGCATCATTTATAACCTGATGTTCTTTCTTTTTCTTTTTCTTTTTTTTTAATATATCAAAAAAGACTCTCAGAGGCATTGGGAGGAAACATCAGAAGAAGCAAAGACCAAAATATTGCCTGGGAAGTGGATGGGGAAGGGTAGAAGGTGTGAGTTGAGGGGGCGCAAGGTGTTGCTGTTGTGTTGAGATCTCTGGGCGCGAGTTCCTGGAGAGTTCTCTGGAGGTTTCTCTGGCTGGGGAGATTGGGTGGCAGCAGAAGAGGTGTGGCTCTGGGATGGGCAGAAGCCTTTTTTCTGGCTTTGTTCTTGTAGGTGTGGTTGGCTTGAAGTTCCAGGTTCACTCTCCTTCCTTACCTTTGCCAGGTAGGATGGGAAGGCAAGAAAGCCGCGATAAGGAAGGCAGAATCCCCTTCCTGAGGAGTTCGTCTCACATGGCAATAAACATCCTCTCCAACTCACTCCATATATCAGTTTAATAGTTTGCTTGTAGATCTAAATTATGTTCTGGGTAGTTCAACATGTAAGAAACCAGAGAAGGCATTTTAGAATAGAATATAAATAGAACCCGTTGCCTATTTTTAGCTTTTGATTCTTCTTTGAAGCCTTTAAATAGAAATTAATTCCTTCTTCCTAACATTTCTACATTGTTTTTTGGTCTGTCCTATATTAGAAGTATTTACTTCTAATATAGGTATTTACGTAATAGGTATTTACATAACCACCCTAATAAAGTGGTAAGTTTCTTGAGGGTAGAGAACATACATTATCATCTGCAGCTTCATCCTTACAAGGTCTAGGCACCACTTTGGAAATAGATGATTTTTATTTATTTTTAAAATTTTTTTAAAGAGAGAGAGAGAGAGAGGTTTTTTTATTATTATTTATTTTTTAGTTTTTGGTGGACACAACATCTTTGTTTGTA